TACATTGACATCTTATACAAAATCAAATGCACTTTTACCATGTGGACATTCATACATTTCTGAAATAAAAATGAATGTAAATATTCAAGGGTGTAAACTATCAACTATAACGTGCATTTAGAATAATACAAGCGTGCACTATTATATCACACTTTCTAAACTCTTACACTGGTATCCTTTTACAAAATAAAATGCACTTTTTAAGTGTGCATTTAAATATGTACCAAAGTGCACTAGAATATTTCACTTTTCTAAAACTTTACATTGACACTTTGTACAAAATGAAATGCACTTTTCTTCTGAAATCATCATAATTTCTGTTATGATAGTGTCTCTTGATGTCACTTTTATCTGCAAAACAAAGTAATATAAAAATCAATGAAAAAGTGCATGAACGACATATGATAGGTGCATCAAAAGTTTAATACAAAATTTATCATTGTCATCTTAATTATTAGAAGTTAATATATAGTATTATGAAATTGTTCGACATTAAACACGTTAAATGCATCATATGCCGCTAATGTAAATGCATTAAATTGTTAGTGCAAATCTACAAATGTATATTAATACAAACTCATACATCTCAGATATAGAACAATAATATGTAAAAGTGCAAAACAAAATATGTATAGTTGCATTGAATTCAACAATCAACATTAAATTATCTTTGAAATTGTCAATTCAGAACCAATTGCCATAAATATTAAAACAACGGTGCACCATTGAAAAACAATAAAATCTGCTGGGATCAAATAAATTATAAATAAAAGCTTGGACCATAAGAAAATTAGATTAAAGAAGAACTTGACCTATGAAGACAGAAATATATTTTTAATGTAAAATCACAATCTAAATTCCGAAATACGTACTAATTAATTTCTTATCATGAACCGTGTGGAGGATAGGAGATTATATACTTCGGAGAGGATATTCACACACTCTTCAACAACATAAGAAACAATAGAAACATGAGAGGAAGAGAGTTTGTAGGAAGAAGATAAAGAATAAGGTGAAGATGAGAATTGAGATTGTTGATGAATAAAAATGGGGATGAGAAGAGAGGTTGTTGATGGTGATGGAGAAACGTGAATGAGATGATCGAGATGCAGAAGATAGGAAAGAAGATAGATAAGGAAAGAAATACTAAAATTTAGGAGATAATATTCTCATATGGTTCAACGTATAGATTTAGTCTTAGAAGGAAAGAATAAGAAATTACATATCTACCCTCATACAAATTAATTAAAAAATCTCAATAATGCTTCAATCCAACGGCTCAAGATGATTCTTTTTTACTCTCCTAAGATTAAGTTCTCACATGATCCTAAATCTATATATATATATATATATATTAAGGAGGGTTCTAGTGAGAACCCCTTTTAAAATGAGAACCTCTAATCTCCATCATTAATTTTTATCATCAATGGCTAATAATTACTAGGTGAATTAATTGCACAAGAACCCCATTTGAAATTGTGATAATCATGAATATGACCCCATGTGAATCATCACCCATGATTGCAATAAATGAAAGGATGAGATTAAAAGTTCTCATTATAAAGAGTTCTCATTTTAGGAGAGGTTCTCACTAGAACCCTTCCTATATATATATATATACACACACACACACACACACATATATAAATATACATATACATATACACACACACACACACACACACACACACACACACACACATATATAGAATAAAGATCAAATGAGAACGGTGCTTAATGTGAGAATCCGTGAGAACCCCTGATAACGGTGATATTTTTGGCTGAAATTTGTTGTGTATGTTCCTCATTGAGTCTAGTTCATCCATACCAAATTTGAGCAAAAAATTCAATCGGGAAGGTCATCAAATGATTTTTGAAAGAAAATTGGTCCGGAATATACATATAAAACACAGTTTTCTTTCAAACATCATTTGACGACCTTCCTGATTGATTTTTTTGCTCAAATTTGGTATGAATGAACTAGACTTGATGAGTAACATACACAAAAAATTCAGCCAAAAATACCTCCGGTTCTACGGGTTCTCACGGGTTCTCATTTTAAGAGGGGTTCTCACTAGAACCCTCATATACAATAGAGATCAAATACAAAGCCTTCTTAATTTACAAAGTACAAACTCATCTTGACCGTCCGATGAGTTGATCCAAAGGACATAAAGGCAAGGTGGCATTTTTGTAATAAAACCCAACTTTTTAGGGTGCAACTCGTTGCACCTTAATGTGCAACTGTTATTTTTATGACTTTATAATGTGTAACACTTTGAACCTCAATATGCGATGCAAATAACGTCAAGGTGCATCGTACAAATATTTGCACAATAAGCACACTTTGTACTTGATCTTTCCCCTATATATATATATATATATATATATATATATATATATATATATATATATATATATATATATATATATATATATATATATATATATATATATATATATATATATATATATATATATATATATATATATATATATATATAGGGGGCGTTTGGTACGGTGTAAATTAAACACTTTACATGCAAAGTTTAGGGATGTAAACTATTTGCACTGTTTGGTTTAAATTTGTAATGTAAACTGTAGGACACTTTTTAAAAATATTTTACACTATACCATGTAAAGTATTTTACGTGGAGGGAGGGTTGTAAAATACTTTACATGCATATTAAAAAATACGTTCCTGTATCTTTTACGTTACTAACCCTAAACCCTTGGCATCAAATATGAAAGTGCATCGATCTTATTGGGGCTAACCTAGTTTTGTTCCAGCAAATGAAAAGTGCATCGCGATCATTGTTCTCATAATTTTTTCTTTTCAAGCAGCGGCCGAATCAATTTGGTAAAAAAATTAACCTTCTGATTTTTTAGGCGTGTTTAATTAGCGAATGTTGAAGCTTTGATGTTAATCTGATGTATCTACCTACGTATACTATCATTCCTTTCATCTAGAGTGGTTTAACCTTGGCATAACAATTTCCGGATCGTTCTTTTTGTCTAAATTTGACATACGATTTCATAATTAAGATTTCTCTCACAAACTGTAATTTCTTGAACTTGCATCGTTTTCTTTAAATGTTGAACTGCATCGTTGATAAGAGTCGATTGTTAATTAAAATAAGGGTACTTTAGACATTTGTATTACATATTACACGTAAAGTTTTATTTTTAAACCAAATAATGTAATGACTTTGGATGTAATTTAAAAATGTAATACACATCTAACCAAACAATGTATTCATATTTCGCATGCAAAGTGATTGCTTTCCTACACTTTACATGCAATCATTTTGCACGTAAAGTTTTAATGTGTGAAGAAACAAACGCCCCCTAAATGCATTCACACACTCACATGCACTCCTATACTTAGTTACATACATACATTTAGTACGTACACCCTTTTAGTAAAAAAAAAAAGTTACACCCTTCAAAAAAAATTGAATGTCATTATATATGTAGACTGTAGGCATATACTTGGTTCATATGTACGTACGTACACCTTTTATTTGTCAAATTATTATTTCTATTATTTCTATTTGTTAATAAGTGTTTTAAAAATGTGATTCGTAGTGCATGCTGTTAGTTACAAACGGGTAGTGCTTTTTTAAGTTGCTGCAGTTTAAAAAATTTACAATTCGTACTGCATGTTGTTCAAAATTTTCCATCGTTTGGAGTTAGCCTGGTCATCACCTAACCTTAATTATGAGTATGTCTAGAAAATGAGAAGAGTAGCCTAAAAGTTGGAAATAATCTTCAAATAATCTAACTTTAGAATTTGATATCAGATTTTTTTATCAAATAATCTCTTCAAATAATCTCAATATCTCATTCATAATCTATAAAAGTATCATCCACATCATCAAAATAATCTCAAGATTAAGGTAAAGAGTGAAATTAATTTCTTGAAAAACTGAACAGGCTTCTTGAATTCTCTGTAGACTCATTTGTTTCTTTAGGGATTTAATTATAATGCGCAATAGTAATGTGGGCAGCACTATTATAATACAGAATACGTGTGTGTATATATATAATGGGTTGGGGCCTAAACAGGTCGGAACCACATATACCATACCCGGCCCATCTAATTACGGGTCCAGGTCGGGTAACGGGAAAAAAACATAGACCAATGTCCAATAAAAAAAGACGGATCCGGATCTAGACCCGGCCCATTGACATGCAGGCCTATTTCAAGCCCTCCATATCATGACTCTACAACAACTACATCTCAGTCATCAAATTTAGATTGTCCAACATGGTGTGAATTAATTTTGTTAAGTATGATATAGATCCTGTTTGGTGACCTGGTTTTTTGGCATATCAATTAACTTTTTCATCAAACACGTTACTTTTGATTTTGCGCGTAGAATTGTGTAATTATAAGAATAAGTAAGGTTGAAGTTACTTCTCTGACTGTATTGGCTGAAAACTTAGGATCATCATTTTAGCTATTTTTCATATAACTTTTACTTATTTTATTAATACACTATATTTTAAATATAATATTTCATAATTCAGTAGAATCAGCCAATCCAGCCACTTCATCCAGAACTTTATAAATTTCATCAAAATATGCCGATTGACCAATTTGAGTACTACCAAAGTGGCTCCCAGTTATTCATTTACTATGTATAGCAGAACAATCCAACTAGTTCTATTTCAATTTCCAAATGCCCTCATTATTTAATGAAGAAAAAAAAAAGACTAAATAAGCTAAGCTTTTCCAAAACATTTTTTTGTCACTGCCGGTTTTTATTCATTTATATGGATCGGAGTATTATATTGTATTTTGAGAAATGAAATGTTTATTAGCTTACCTTGAGTCCTTGACGCCTTTGATATATTTGAATGAATCCATTGAGTAAATATTGGAATGAATCCACGCCTTTCAATTTATCCGTCACATGATACGAAAATGTCCTAAATACATTGTCATGTTTCTAGTGCAGTGATTGCTTTTATCATGTCAAAATTAAATAAGAGCACGAAAAGTAATAGTTGAAATTTGGTGTCAAAATTCTTATTGGTATGACATAATACGAGTGTATGAGTTTCCCTCATATGATCCATTGACAATAGGTGACAAGTTTTGGACAAACAACATAGGTTTTGGTGGTTTTTTCTCTCATATCATAAACACATACATGGGTGGTTCTAATCCCATCCTCCTTAGGTGCAATGAAGTAGATTGTATTTTCTCTCATTGAAGATGAGCTTGATGATCCAATGCAGGTTGAGCATGACATAGAACTTGATTCACCGAGGAAAAACACCCTTTGATCGCCTAGATTTTTCACATTTCTCCACTCCGCCTTGTCCATGTCCAATTTGAAAACACACACATCTCGAACTTTATTTCCGAGCAATCCAATGAAGATGATATAGATCAGAAATATGTCACCAAGAGATTCGACCAAGACCCGCTGAAAACGTGGCGCATCTTCATAATGCCAATCTGGACGCCTCATTGTAAATTGTCTTCTTATTTCAAATCTATGATCATCTGAAAGTGTCAATTCTGTCAACACAACACCCTGAAAATCACGACAATAAATCTGTCTTTCATGACACACAACTTGACTGAATGGTTGATCAATAACAATGTCATCAATGAAGTCTTGCTCTCTCCAAACCTCTTCACCGGGATGACAGAACATAACAAAGGGGCGATCTTTATCGAAGAAGGCGACGACGCTGTTCGGGTGAGATGGAGGCAGCGTGAGAGTGCAACAACTCCACTCCATGGACTCCCAAGGCGGAAAAGTGATCTTTTTCATGGACATAGGATTGAATAAGAAACAAGAGGCAGCATTTGGCGTTTCATCCAGCATAACCATCCATCCATGAGCAGCACACACTCCTTTATGGTTTGCCATGTCACTGGGTGTGTTCTTGATGATGACACTGCTATTGCATCTTTCAACATCGTAAGAGTATAGATGAAGACTAGATTCATCATCGTCCTGATAGTATACAAGCCTTGGAAATTGAGAAGAAATCACGCTTCTTTTGGTCTCTGCCATCCCCTACGCTGCTGTAAAGTATTTTTATTTGGGATTGCGAATTGATTCAATGAATAATCATTGGCAGAGTATATGTGATATGTCTGATATGTTTATACGGAGTATCATCATTATTATATTATATATAAGCGGAGTATGTAGGAAACGTAAAATTAATTACGGAATAATAAGTTTGTTTCTTGATTGACAATAATTAATGAGTTCATAATAAAATACATTATTTTTAATAACTTCCTATTTCATGCATTCTTATTGGAGAATCCTATGATCACAAATTCACAACGTATATTGAGTATTGATATGGCACGACTTGCCTTCATTGACATGTTTAATAATGTTTAGTTTAGGATGTTCTTTTGAATTGAAATTTGGTGGTTTGCACTATTCTGTTTTTGTTTGATATAGTTTGATCTGATTACTCTCAAACTTTATTTTAACTGAAGTACTATTAATATGTTATAATTCATAAATAACTAATTTTTAATCATATATATTTACAAATAATATGAATAAAACTACTTCATATTATTAGAAATTAAAAATTTCTTCACAAACAATATCATGAATTAAAAATTAATTATATGCACTTTTTTTTAACCACCAAACTCAATGGGTAGAAGTCGGGCCGCATTTACCAGATATTATTAAAATGTGGTAATTACCCGAAGAGTCGACTTTGATATGCCTTATATCATTGGGAATTTATCACAAGGAGACTAAAAAGTGAAAATAATATCACTTTTTTCGACTTTCAGAGTTATTTCAAAAATAGACTAGTCAAACTACAATGTGCAATCTGCACTATATACACGGTAACTAAATAAACTGGCCAGAATGAAACTTGAAGATAAACAAAGTGTATAAAAGAAGTAAAAACAAACAATGATACAAATAGACTTACCAAGATGGACTTGACGGGTTTTGGGTATTGGGAGTTCAATAGCCGGGTCTTAAAGGCCAGGATTTGATTACTCTTCCAATCTTTTGTGGGGTTTTTGGGATCCCAAAGAAGGTGGGTACTTGGTATAGGGATGGGGGGTTGTGGAGGCGGTGCATTGCGGTGGTGGGGTCGACGAAAAACTACCGCAACAGAGTGGCGGGGAGACTGGAGAAGAGGACGAATCCAGCTGCAATCACGCCGCTCTCGTCGGACTTGGAATTGAATACAAGCAATGACGAAAAAGAACTACGTCAAATTAGGGATTTGGAAAAGGAGAGAAACGAAAAGGGGAATTAAAAAAGAATAGGCTGCAGGAAGAATGAAGAAAGGGAGGAGAGGCGATGGTGAGACGGTGATTTTTTTTTGAAGAGGGTAACTTTTTTGAGTTTATATAGTGTGTATAAGTGTGTGTATAATAGTGTGTACAAAGAGCAAAATTGGGAATTATTAGTTTTTGGGGTGTAAGGTGGACTGGAGTTATTAGAAGTGTATGCAGTGACGGAACTAGAAAATAATTTAAGCGGGGGCACAGTCTTATAAGTAATTTATTTGAATATAGTTTATAAGTAATTTATTTGAATATATAGAAGTAAATTAGATATGAAATGCATAACCTATACTATTTAACGTAATGAGAAGATTCTTTGAAAGTTAAAGATCCAAATTGATATAGAAACATATATATATTCTAATAGCCTATTTTGCTAACTTTTGAAGAGCTAAATTGGCAAATCAGATAATGTATCAGATATAATTTTTTAATAACTTCAATTTTGAGAAAAGTAATTGTTATGATCAGTTTATTTATTTTTTACACACGTAAACGAGTTATTGTGTTGTTTGAGTAAATGAATAAATTATAGATCAACAATTTATACTCATATAGTTATATATGCAGTTTTTAATTCAATATTTAATTTATTTTAATACAATAATATTATACGGAGTAAAATAACCTACGCACTATGTCCTTGCCGACTAACAATTGAAATCAACTAAAAAACTTAAAAATTACACAACTAACAGGTGAAAATAAAGTCAAAAAGAGTTAGAGACCTTTAGCCTGGGCTCTGGAGGTCGTCGAATGCTCTGTGTCTCAGTATCTCTGGTTGTAAATAATTTGCCGTCTTGATGCGTAGGATTAAACTGCTTCGCTGCTTGTGCGGCCAGGGCGGATCTGCTTAATGCCTTCGTTTGGGCTGTTACTTGTTGGGCCTGCCTTGGCCCAACCGGCCATATTATTTCTCCTGGAATCCGAAACGCCGTCGTTTGTTTAAAAAAAAAAAACCCACCTTGGTCGATCGTCCCTGTCCAACGGATATCCTTCAGAAGCAAAACTGCATGGTATACCATCCACTTTTATACCCACCATATTTGTAAGGAGTTTTTTTTGTCTGTGAATTTCGGTCATAGACAAAAATATGTTTATGCAGATATGGTAGGTACAAAGGTGGATAAAAAATGGTTACCGAACGAAAATTATACCGTACGACCGGTATACCATGCACATGGTATACCATGCACATGGTATACCGGTCCAATACGACACCATTTCAATTAATGAAAACAAGCTCACACGCTCGATCTCTGTTCTTCTCCGTCACTCCAAATCTGCAAACCTCGTTTTTTCCTCCATCACGGTTCGCACGCTCCTATCTACAAGTATGCAAAAGACTCTCAATCGGCCCCGTTCCTCCAAGTCTGCAAAACTCTCACGTAGTGTGTTTGAAAACAAAATTCATTTATTTTATGTTTCCACAAGACCACAACCAGATCAAACACAAAAATATACTTCGTATATAATATAAATACATTAAAGAGATGAGAATGAAATTAACCTCAAGCGAAGCTTTTTATCTTACAATTTACACTTTATTAAATAATCTGTTATTTGTTTTTTTTGCTGATATTATAGAGTTACATGTCACATACACTGGAATTACATTTCGTTTTGGCTAAAGTTACATCTTGTAACACACGATTCACATTTCAATTTTTCTCAATAAGTTACATCTTGATTACACTTCATTTACATTTGGCATATTGCGAGTTACACCACAAAACAATGCGAGTTACACAACAAAATAAACCTATGTTATTCAATCAAAAATGATTTTCTTATTAAAAACATTTTTAATGGGCCTAATATTAAAAACAAAACGTATGCACTTTTTATGTAAAATAATTGGACAAATAGAGTCCTTTTTTTTTCATTAAACATGAGTTACATTTCAGGATAAAAGTTACATTAGTTGTTAACTGAAGTTACATTTGTAACAACACGAGTTACATTTCATTACATACGAGTTACATCTCATTACATACGAATTACATCATTCTGCTCCTGGATAATAAAAAATTAAAAAAAAAGGTCACTGTTCAGGCGCGTGAACAGTAACACGCTATTTTTCAACATGCTTCAAACGATGTCGTTTTAGACTTAGGAGCATGATGTTCATGGTGGATCAGTTGTACCGTATACGATCTGGTTACCGAAGGACTCTCGAAAGAATTCTGGGCAAGTGTGGAAATGTGGAATTGGATGAGGATTGATCGGTGGGGTGAGATGAATTAATTATGGGAGGTGATAAAGGGTGGTTAATGATTGAGATGCCAAGCTGTTGTACTGGCGAGATATTTGGAATAGATACCAACTTTCGTGCAGCAGGCCCCAGGGAAAGACATTAATTTAAGAGCTTTTTGGTAGTATGAAAATCGGCTGTTTTGCATTATTCTGCTGCAATTTATGATGTTCTGGCTGAAGTGGTTGTTTTGGTTAATTCTGCTGATTTAAGAAAAAAAATTAAAATATACTTCATTAATAAAATTAAGAAAAAATTATATGTAAAAATAGCTAAAACGGTCATTTATAGTAACTTCAGCCAATACAGCTAGAAAAATAACTACAACCTTACTTTTTCTGCTTATTACACAATTCAGCGAGCGAAAGCAAAAGTTACTGTTGGGTAAATGGCCCAAACGGGGGTTCGGCCCAATCACCCCCAAGCCGACGTACGTCGCCTAGCCCGCGGGGTGGCCTTAGCCCGGAGGACTTAGGACGAACGTCGGTCCTCGGGATAACAGCACAAGGTCCCATCTCGAACGTCGTTCGATTAGCACATCCACGACGAACGTCGTCAGCCGAGGCCCATCTCTGTGGATAGTCCAAGTCCAGAAGAGTGTCACATCCCACCAAGGGCCGCAGACGAACGGCCGCCAGCCTTCCACTCCCTGCCGAGGCTGTCCTCAGTTCTGCCACACGATCATGGTCCGGAATTGGGCGGGAAACCCGGATTCTGGCGGGAAGCGCATTTAATGCTGGAGATTTGGTGGTTGGACCACAGCCACTCACCATCATCCACGTCATCAAAGCTAACTACCCATTGGCGGGTATAAATAGCAGCATTTATTTCATTGTAAGGGGTTGGCAACTTTCTATTCTTAACACTCTTGCTATAGCACTCTTATTGGCAGCACTTTCACTGCCTGGTAAGACGAACGGCCGACGGGCCTCTTTTAGCAAGTAGATTGTACTTAGGGGAGTTATTACGAAGTTAATAATACCTATTTACATTGCCTGCTATTTCCTCTGTTTCCTGATCCATCTGATAGTTGTTGGGCTCGATATTCACACATTCATACACTCACTCCACTCGAGACCCTTTGGGCTTACGTGTTGGGCCCGAGGACCGAAGGAATTAACATCAACACTGGCGCCGTCTGTGGGAAACTGAACTAAAAGTTTTCGGAACTCTCCCTGCTAGAACAGCAACAACCTGCCTTTCAACAAAACACGATGTCAGGAAGCCACAACCAGCGTGACCTCTCCGAGCGTCTGGAGTCAAGCCGCCGGAATCGCGGCCAGAACTCGGAGCAATCCGCGACGATATGGACCTCCAGGGGGAACGGAGGTATCATTGACCTTATTCCCCTTGAGGCCAGGCAGGATCCCCGCCTCATGCGGGTGCTCGCTGACACCATGCGCCGTTTGGCAGATGAGCGGGAGGCTCAGGAGCATGTGTGCTCTGCAAGTACCCAGCGAACACCCCTCTCTCCAATCCGCCGCATGCAGTCGTACGATGATACGACGGGATCCAGCGACCACCGGCCCTCCGTCCACGAGCGGCTAGGTGGAGGTTCAGGCTCCCAAGGAACGGGAGGGCGAACAAATGTTAGCACTGCTGCGTTCAGGGCGCACACGTCATCAGTTCCCCGTCAAATCTCGCGGGGGGAAGAAACCCCAAGGATCAACACCGTTGGACGACGTTTCCAACGACGAGGGGCGCAAATCCTTAGGCGACCGCACGATGCTGTGGCCGCACAGCGGAACGCTGCCATCGAGGCAATGCCTCGTGTGTCCCCCGGAAGGGCCGCACAGGATGCGAGGCTGGAGGCGATGGAGCGGCAGATCGCCGAAATGAACAGACGGACGGAGGCCGGCACAGCTACGCCCTCTTTCTCCCTCACATCACCCTTCACCCCCCGGGTGATGAGCGTCGAAATCCTCCGGGACTGCAGACCCCCAGGCAACTTGGTATACAATGGAGCCGGTGACCCCAAGGCCCACCTGATTAGCTACCAAGGGAATCTATCCATGCTGGGAGCATCGGACGAGGCCATCAGCAGACTGTTCTTCAGCACCCTCAGGGGGCCGGCGCAAGAATGGTTCGGCCAGCTGAGGCCGGGCACCATCGACTCATATGAACAGCTTTCCCGGCAGTTCATGGCCCAATTCGCTGCCAGCACCACCCCCAGGAAAGACGTCACGGCTCTCGCCGACATCAAACAAGGGCGGGACGAACCGCTGGCTAGGTTCCTGGTAAGATGGAGGGACGAAGTCCTGCAGGTCGATGATCTGGACGAACGTCTGGCCACGAACATGTTCACCAGTGCTCTGGCCACGGGAGATCTGTACCGGGACCTGAGGAGGAACCCCGGCACCAGCTACACCGAGGTTCTGGCTCGGGCCAAAAAGTATGCCTCTATTGAGGAGGAGATCAGGCAGCGGGACGGAGTTCCCGCGGCCCAGCAACGGAAGATGGCGGACAGGCTCGGCCCTAGGCCGGGGCCCAGGCCTTCCCCCCCAAACAAGAAGAAGAAGGCGGACGGGGCGATGGTCCCTTGGAAGGCCCCGACCGGAGATAATCAGACTCAGCCGGACGACCGCTACGTCCCCCTGGCCTATCCAGTGAGCCAAATCTTTGAGGCCATCAAAGACAAGGGCCTCCTAATGGAACCCCAAGATATGAAGAAGCATATGGGGCTTGACCAATCTGCTTACTGTGAATACCATCAGAGGGCCAGCCACCTGACGGACAACTGTAGCCAACTCAGGAAAGCCATCGACGAGCTGGTCCGTCAGGGGTACTTGGGCGAGTTCACCCAGCTGTTGAACAAAAACAACCAACAGAAGCCGAATCAAAGACCCCGGACATGGCGCCGCGACGACCGGCACGAGGCAGAACCTCAGGACGTGGATTATCGAAGTGCAGATAAGCGTCCGGAGGGGTCCCTTGGCCCGAAGGGCAAAAAGAAGAAACTGAAGATCAAGGTGATCTTCGGGGTGCCGAGAAGGGGGATACACCCGCCGAGCGGAAGAAATTTGAGAGATCACTCTATGTGGGTTCCGTATCAGCACCCCCCCCACCAAGCGCAACAAGATCAAGGCAATCACTTTTGGTCCCGCCGATCTACCGGCGTCACCAGCACCGCACAGGGACGAGCTGGTAATCAGCATGGACGTGAACGATGCCATCGTCCGCCGCGTCCTTGTTGATACCGGAAGCAGTGTGAATGTCCTCTACTGGGAGGCGTTCGAGGGGATGAAGCTAAAAAAGGACATGCTGCACCCTCTGCGTATCCCGCTGTTCGGCTTCACCGGGGATTGCATTGACGCCGAGGGCACCATCTCTCTGCCGGTGGAAATCGGCGACGGCCCTCACACCGCCCGGATCAGGATGACATTCGTCGTGGTCCGCCTGAAATGCGCCCACAACGCCATTTTGGGCCGGCCCGGCTTGGAAGACTTGGGGGCCATATGCTCCGTACGGCCTGCATCAAATTCCCCACCGACACTGGAGTGGGGGGTAGCACGTACGGACCCGCACATGGCCCGGGCCTGTTACACTAAGGCCATGGAGAAGCTC